ATCTCTCCTACCCTTCCCTATGTCATTGGTACCAACATGTACCACGACCACCGGCTCCTCCTCAGCACTACACATAAGTCTGTCTAGATGCCTCGAGAGATCCGCAACCTTCGCACCAGGCAGGCAAGTGGCCATACGGTTCTCCCGGTCATCACAAACCCAACTATCTATGTTTCTAACAATCGAATCACCCACTACTAACACCTGCCTCTTCCTAACAACTGGCATTCCCTCCTCCTCAGAGGTATCCTCAGTGCGAGAGGATACCGCAACATCCTCTGGGAGGAGGGTTGCAACTACGGGATGGTTTCCCTCTGCTCCCATTGAATGCTCTGTTCCCTTGAGACTTTCATCCTCTTTAAGAGCACTGGGGCTCTCGGAGTGGAGGTGGGACAGTACTACAGTGTCCCGGAAAGTCTCATCAACATAGCTCTCTACCTCCCTTAGCTCCTCCAGTTCAGCCACCCTGGCCTCCAAAGCCCGACCTCGGTCTCTGAGGGTCAGGAGCTCCTTGCAACGGGTGCACACACACGCCACCCGGCCACAGGGCAGGTAATCATACATGTTACACTCGACGCAATAAACAGGATAGCCCCCATTCTGCTGCTGGGCTTCTGTCTCCATTTTTCTTATGAATAAGTTTAAGTATAATCTTGGCTTCTTTTTAAATCTCTGGAGTATAGATTATTCTAAGAGTTATGTTTTAAAGAAGGTCAGAAGTCACTAGTGCCCTCTAACCTCCCCCTTTAAACTCCCTCTCCAAACTCCCTGTTAGCTGCTCCTGGTCGCAAGCTCCCTGGTCGCTGACTCACAGACTTATTTAGCTCTGGTAGCCCCCTCCCCCCCGGACTGAGGATCAGCCTATTAACAGAGGCTTCTAGATTTCAAACTTTTTAGAAGTTCCTTCAAACCAACCAACCAACCAACCAGGCAAACACAAGCTCAGCACACAGCAAATAACTCCCCCCCGCCCCCCACACACTACAGACAGCCACTTACCACAAGGGTCCCGTTTTTACTCCTCTTTTACCTGGAGAACTCCCTCTCCAAACTCCCCGTTAGCTGCTTCTGGTCACAAGCAGCAGAGCAGTGCAGCGAGCCTGCCCCAGTTCCTAGGCTCGTCTCCAGATTGGCCGAGAGCCAGCTGCTTACCTGTCTACCTGGTCAGTGATGAAACGGAGCACGGAGAGGGCCCTCAGGGAGATCTCAAACTCCATCACCTCTGCCTGCTTCCGCAGCTCCTGCAGGGTGAAAGCACAGACCCACAAGCAGGAGGAGTTAGGAAGCCCAAGTCACACCGGGCTGATTCCTGCCCCAAGGCCACCTCATGCTGCAGCCCACAAACACCTCTCAGAGGACAGCGCCAGAGAGCTGAATGATGTGAGTACTCCTGAAGGCAGCAGCTAGTCCAGGCTCCCCATGTGAAGCATGCCCGCAGCTCCTGCAGGGTGAAAGCACAGACCCACAAGCAGGAGGAGTTAGGAAGCCCAAGTCACACCGGGCTGATTCCTGCCCCAAGGCCACCTCATGCTGCAGCCCACAAACACCTCTCAGAGGACAGCGCCAGAGAGCTGAATGATGTGAGTACTCCTGAAGGCAGCAGCTAGTCCAGGCTCCCCATGTGAAGCATGCCATCGGCTGCTGCTGGCTTTCCACACACAGCCAGCGGGCAGCAGGGCAGGCCTGATGCTGAGTGCTCAAGGCCAGCCCAGGGAAGGACTAACTGCCCTGATCCACCATTTGAGAGCGCCTAATGTCAGCATGGCCCCGGCACCAGATATCCCCTGCTCCCAGATCGTGTCTGTCAACCCCAGGTTCACCAGCCTGCGTCTGGACTCTCCCCACGCAGAGGGGCACAGATGTCAGGGTGGGTGGACGGATATCAATTAGCCATCACAAAGTGTAGACTTGAAATTCGGCAAATGTTTCTAACTGCAGGAGGAGAGACGCTGGGAGCAGCCTCCCATGGGGAGCAGGGGGAGCAAACCCCCTAACTGGCTCCAAGCCAGAGCTCGATACGTTTATGGTACGAGACAGCCTGCAATGGCACGTAGCCAATTTCCAGAGGCCAGTGATGGGACACAGGATGGGGAGGGCTCTGAGTTACGACAGAGAATTCTCTCCTGGGGTCTGGCCCACTTGCTCAGGGTCTAAGCGACAGCCAGATTGGGGTTTGGGAAGGAGTTTTCCCCTTGGTCAGATTGGCAGAGACCCTGGTGGTTTTTTGCCTTCCTCTGCTGCGGTCAGATTGGCAGAGACCCTGGTGGTTTTTCGCCTTCCTCTGCTGTTTGGGGAACTTGCAGGTTTAAATTAGTGTCACTGGAGGGTTCTCTGCAACTTGAATCACGGTGACTCAGCCACAGGCTCAGGGTCTATTAGAGGAGTGGGGAATGAGCGAGGTTCTGTGGCCTGCAGTGTGTTGGATGGGCCCTCTCCCCCAGCTGGGGCAGCTCTGCGCAGAGCATCATGCGTCCCCGGCCCAGAACCAGACTTCCTGGCTGCAGCCTGCCTTCGTGCCGCTGGCCAGGATCCACCTGAGGATCCAGGTAAGCCTGAGTCCCAACCCCCCTCACCTGGAGCCTTCTCCTTCCACCTGAGGATCCAGGTAAGCCTGAGTTCCCCCTCACCCGGAGCCTTCTCCCGTACACCAAACCCCTCATCACTGGCCCTAGCCCTGAGCCCTTACCCCCTCCTGTACCCCAAATCCCTCATCCCCAGAGCCGTTTGTCATGATATTGGCCCGGTCCATCACACCCTTGCACCCCAACCCTCTGTCCCAGCCCTAAGCCCCTCACCCCAGCCGCATCCCAGAGCCTGCACCCCCAGCCACAGCGCTAACCTCCCTGCACCCCCACCCTCTGCCCCCTTTCACATCCAGTCTATTCTCCTCTTGGAATCCGCCCAGAACACATAGTTTTCAATACTGCAATAGCTACGACTGTCGTTCTCGCTTGGACTACCTCCAAGGGTAAACAGAAATGCCCCGTTGGGACACACATCCTGGAAAACATCCCTACTGTTCCCCAGTCCCATGACTTCCTCGCAGTTTGGGCGGGAAGCCAAAGGGTGAATGCAGTTCCTGAGACCACTGCTGTGGTGACTGTCTCTCATTTTAAAGCCATTTCACCAAATGATTCTGTGTCCTGTTTACAGAGGAGAATGTTAAGAGATGAGAAAAAAACCCCAAATGCACAATACTGTCTCATGCCAAAAAGCAGCTGAAAAAGCAACAAGATCAGGAGCAACAATGTCACATCCAGAGTCAGGACTGGCTCAGAAGGCTGGATATGACCTTTTCCTCCTTAGGTCAGTGGTTCAAAACCGGCCCAGGACAGCACAGGCTGAGCTGTTACCATCTCCTGGGGTTGGATGGCCCATGTGAAATGAGTCTTAGGCCAGTTTCTGATGGAAACCCACCAAGATCGCAAAGAACACAACTGCAATTAACAGGACTGGTTCCCTCCCTCCTACTCTTCGCAGAGGGGTCACAGAAACAAAACTGTCCTCTTACCCCAAGAGACAGTCTAATACAGTCATGGTTGAAGCACCCTTGTCGGACAGAGTAGGAAAACTCTTGCTGTTTCAGCTCCTCATGAGCCACCAGAGAAAACAAATCACCCATCAAGAGACTTCCACCAATACCGAGTTCACGCAGAGGAATGGCCCGATAGATTGCGCCTGTTCATTGGGTTTTGGATACGAGGCCTTCGCGACCATAACAATGTCTAGTGTTTCCAGGTGTTCGGTATTGACCCGGACAGTCCGGTATTTTCGCCTCCCATCCGGTAAATAAATTCAGGAAATACCGGACAACTAAAATGTCTGGTATTTTCTGTTTTTCTCCCTGCCAGGAGGCGAAAATACGGGACACCTGGCAACCCTACAACACACTCGGCAACTGGGCCCAGCCCCTGGCCTCCCTGCTTACCTGGGGGGAGGAGGGGAACGGGAACCTCAATGAAGAAAACAAGATGGCCGCCAGCAAAAACTCTAAAGGACTGAAGCAAGGGGAAGCAATGCGTTCCCTGGGTCTCAGTCCTCAAGCACTTCCTATCCCTATTCTGACTGCACGCGCTTAAAGGGGCCATGCTGTTTTAATGCGGTTTTATTTTATTTTTTGCTTAACTCTCGGGGTCCTTTTTTTTTTTTGTTCAACAACTTTGGTCTTCCCCCCTTTTTTTTCCCCTCAACAGAATTTTTCCCCAGTGTTTTTTTTTTTTTTTTTTTTTGGAGGAGGGGGGGGGGTCGGTATTTTGGTTAAACCATCTGGCAACCCTAACGATGGCCTTTCCCAGGCCTGGACATGTCAGACAGACCTGCTAGAGGTTGAGAACTGACACTTTTAACCCACCTGCATTGATGAGGCACTGGCCAGATCGTCAGGCAGAAGCTTTTCATGGGCTGGGAACTCCCCGTTGGCGCTTCGAGCTACTAGCAGGGTCAGTTTCCGGTGGCTGTAATCGATCAAGTCCAGAATGGTGTCCTCAGCAGATTCACAGATTTCCTATGAAACAAGAGGGTGGCAGAGTGCTGTTTGAGAGAAGGTATTCCCTCCAGAAAGTTCCTGTTTCAGATGGCCTTCTGATTAGAAGCCACCAGTCCAACTGGAACAATACCTGCAGATCTCAGTGTCACAGGGGGCTGATTGAGATCTACCTTATGGCTTCAGGCTGAACATAGATACGGGGCAGAGTTTAGGTCATTAGAGTTGCAGTAATTCTGCATTTCCATTTGCTCAATTGTCTGGGGTTTTATGTTTTAGCTTTAAAGTGGCAGAACTGAGATTAGAACTAGGGGAGGGGAGGAATCTTGGGACAGGGTTTGGTCTGTGCCCCAGCTTGTCACAGTCTCCTGAGAGGGATAGCGTTAGCATGCCAGGCTCCAAGGACCCCCACAATCCCACAGGGACAGGACTGTGACCTCCAAGTCTGGGCCCCGTCTCTTTCTTCTGGCTCCCAGCAGTGAATCCAGCCAAGCCAGAGTCCTGGGGGAGACTGTACCGTAGCTCTTCAGGGCGCAATGCTCTCAGGGAGAATTTACAGTGACACAGGCAGCCTTTAAAAAACAAGGTAACTATCTACTGGGCACGTGGTGCAGGAATCTGGAAGCCTTAGGAAAATGAAGGTTAAAGTATAGTCCCTTTTGCTCAGGCCAGAGCCCCAGACAAGCTGTGGTGAATCCCACATTCTGGGTTTCCCCCCTAGTCTGATCTCCTTGGTCAGGTTCCAGGTGAGAGTCCTGACTCCTTCCAGAAGCCCACACTATCCGCGCTCCTCCCACCTTCCAGTCCTTTGATCGGAGCTGGGGATGTACCCAGCTTCCCTGCCGAGAGGGGGGAATCCATCCATTCCCCTCTGGGATGCTGGTTGCTAGGTGCCAATGTCCTGGTAACTGGGTTTTCCACTGGCATCTCAGATCTCCTATGGAGTCAGCCTCAGTAAGTCCTTTCTTCATGACCCATTCGGGCTCAGAGAGGCCAGCAACACACATCCACCTCTCTCTTAACCAGCCCTGACAATTAACTGAGCTCCTTCCCCTTCCCCAGGTAGCCAGCCAAACTATAGTGGAAACCGAGGCGCACATAGGACTCCTCAAAACACTACAGAAAATTCACACTTCATCACAGGTCTGGAACCTACTCCCATGATCTGCCCACTACACCAAGCTGCCTCTGTACTTGCAGTTTGGGGAAAGGTTTGCCTGTTTCATACATGTGTCCCAACATCACATCTGGGATTTCCCTGTTCTGGGGCCTGCTGAATTCATCTCTTACCTTGTGAAAAAACACTGTCTCCAGGAGGTTGATAATAGAAGCTTCATGGTGCAGCTGAGGCAAGGTGGGAGACAAAGCAAAGGTCAGAGGAGCGTTATCTAGAGTGCCCATGGTAATATGCAACCAGCCTGCAACCGAGGTAGCCCCCAACAAAGGTGAAGTCAGAAGCCCAGCCAATGAGGCAAATTCAACCCATGGAGTCCTTAGCCAGGTTCATCTTTAATACAGATGCATGGCCTGTGGAAACTACAGGTCCCAGCAAGCAATGCTCCATCATCATTTGAGGGCAGGCTGGAGGACTGCGAACTAGAAGCCCGGACCTCTGGATCACTGCAAGCGTATTGTGCAAACGGTACCCCCTGGTTCCTGGCATGTGGCCAGTATGATCCCTTTGCGGGGGGCAATTATTCCTGGCTTCACTAGAAAATGCTAGTGCACTGAGGGTATGTCTATACTGCATTCCTCTTTCGAGAGAGGAATGCAAATGCAGCCGAGAGAAATTGCAAATGAAGCGCGGATTTGAATTTCCCACGCTTCGTTTGCATAATCGCGTCCGGCCGCTATTTCAAAATACCCTATTTCGAAATAAAAAACGCTGCGTAGACGCGGTTATTTTGAAAGGAACCCCTTCTTTCCAGATAAAGGTTATTTGAAATAACGAAAGAAGAGGTTTCTTTCGAAATAACCACGTCTACACAGCATTTTTTATTTTGAAATAGGGTATTTGAAATAGCGGCCGGATGCGATTATGCAAACGAAGCGTGGGAAATTCAAATCCGCACTTCATTTGCAATTTTGCTCGTCTGCATTTGCATTCCTCTCTCGAAAGAGGATGCAGTGTAGACATACAAGAGACAAGAGTGTCCTTTGCTACTAAGATCTGTCCCACCACCAAAAGGGCCTGCGAAGGCATTTCAGTGAAATTCTTGAAGTGTCAAAGGCCACCACTTTCCAGTCACCCTGAAGATTTCACAAGACATTGGTGGTGGCCTCAGAGTGCGTGTACCAACTTGTGCTGGTGGCCACTCTGACAGTTTTTCCTAAAACACTGACTTAACTTTACAGAAAATAAATATGGACAAATACACATCCAAATCATTGTAATTTATTCATGTAGGTTTTTATTGCAGAATCAATAGTAAAAATAATATAGTTGTCTCTGTTCTTTACTAGACCTACATAGAAGAGAAACAAATAATGGATTTTGCACTTTCCTGTCTTTTTTGTTGTTTTTGGGGTGTGTGTGTGTGTGTTTTGTTGCTTTTTAAAAGTCTCTGAGGAGTACTGTGGCACCTTAAAGATGATTTATTTACCCATAAGCTTTTGTGGGTAAAAACCTCCTCATCAGATGCATGAAGTGGAAATCAGAGGTCTTAACACATATATCCCAATGCTTGTGATTTAACATACATATATAATCCAAATCTTTGTGAGCTCCACTCCATGCATCTGACAAAGTGGTTTTTACTCAGGAAGGCTGATGCCCAAATAAATCTGTTAAGTCTTTAAAGGTGCCCCTGGGCTCCTCCTTTTTGCAGATACAGACTAACAGGGCTCCCCCTCTTGGGGTATGTCTACACTACCACCCTAGTTCGAACTAGGGTGGTTAATGTAGTCATACGAACTTGCAAATGAAGCCCGGGATTTGAATTTCCCGGGCTTCATTTGCATGTTGCCGGGCGCCGCCATTTTTAAATGTCCGCTAGTGCGGACTCCGTGCCCGCAGCTACACACGGCACGAACTAGGTAGTTCGGAATAGGAAGCCTAATCCGAACTATCTAGTTCATGCCGTGTGTAGCTGCGGGCACGGAGTCCGCACTAGCGGACATTTAAAAATGGCGGCGCCCGGCAACATGCAAATGAAGCCCGGGAAATTCAAATCCCGGGCTTCATTTGCAAGTTCGTATGACTACATTAACCACCCTAGTTCGAACTAGGGTGGTAGTGTAGACATACCCTGAGACTCTAAAAGACTTGTTAGTCTAGTTCGTGAAAAGTGAATTGGAGGTTGTGGCCAGACAAAAAGCCCCAGGTGGCAGCAAGAGACCACGGTAGCCACATTTGAGAACCGCTAATCCAAGAGATCCTACCAGATGTCAGGAGATGTTGCTGTGAAGATGCCTGAAAGCCCTGCACATCACCATGTTATAGGTGGTGGTGGAAGTTTGTGCAAGTTTGTTCTTCTACATCTTCCTCCAAAATATCCATCTTTGACTGCTATCATAGCTACAGAATTGGACTAGAGAGCCTTTTAGTGTCTACTGCTAGCACAATTCCTAGGAAAGTGCCTCCTAGCCAGTACTAGCAAGTGGCCCTAATGGAAGTATCCCGGGGAGACAGGATTGCTTAGAATCCCAAAGATCATACCGGACCGTCTTTCCTCCACACACATGCTGGGTGCATACTGCGCAGTCCTGTCAGTCAGCAGCACGAACACCAGTGAGCTGTGCTAACTAAAAGGCAATGAAACTCAAAGCAGAAAAAGACGGTTTCTCAGTTTTTAGAACCAAGAGATTTTTGTGGCGTGTTAAATGGCCAGAATATCATATATGTTCAGTGCTTGAATGACATGTAAGATCACAGCCCTGAGAACTTTTGGTCATTCATGGTTCTATGGCTGGTTTTAAAGGGGCAGCAGTTACCCCAGTGCCCTGGCCAAAGTCTAGGAGAGGTGATCATAGTCTATTGGTTGTCAAAATTTCCACTGTCATCTCAACTGGATAGCAGATCCTTCCTCATTCCCTAAGTTTACGTTGTGTTCTTATATGCTAAACAGCTGCAATGTTCCACCACATGGGTGGCTACCTTTCAGAAGGGGGGGGGGAAGGAGTGAGCCCTTGTAGTCAAAGCATGTAGTCAACCTGTGGAACTCCTTGCCAGAGGAGGCTGTGAAGGTTAGGACTATAATAGAGTTTAAAGAGAAGCTAGATAAATTCATGGAGATTAGGTCCATAAAAGGCTATTAGCCAGGGGATAAAATGGTGTCCTTGGCCTCTGTTTGTCAGAGGATGGAGAGAGATGGCAGGAGACAAATCGCTTGATCATTGTCTTCGGTCCACCCTCTCTGGGGCACCTGGTGCCGGCCACTGTCGGCAGACAGGATACTGGGCTAGAAGGACCTTTGGTCTGACCCAGTACGGCTGTTCTTATGTTCTAAGTTCTTTGGGATTCTTGAGAAGAAAGGTCTTATGTAAATAAGGGTATAATATTAATGAGAGTTTTGCCTGTGAAAATGATTCACGTGCAGCTACTGCAGTGAAAGCCTTAACGGGCTATGGACAAGGTGTCTCGTGAAGCAGGCCTGCTGGAGCAGAAGTGCCATGCAATGCTGACATCCTAGATCATGGCAGTGCACTAGAATATCGTGCAAGTTTGTTCTCCAAGAGCTCTCTGTACTCACCACCAAGTAGATGGGAAAGGTGCTTTTTGGCTTGAAATCCTCCAGCTGGCACAGCACAGGGAACACCTTGTGCTTCCAGATCTCCACAGAGATCAATTCCTCAATGAGAATAGGGACCTGGCCAGAGGAGTAAAGCACAGAAAGTGAAACCTATCAGGCAAGAGAAAAGGAAGAGAGAAGCCAAGTGCCGTAAGAGTATTTTAGTCCTAGAGAAGAGGATGCTGAGACACACAGGTTTGTTGCACTGATCATCTAGGTACTTTCATATGCCTCATCATCAGACTATCTGCTTCATCCATTGACAGTCATTTCTGAAATCAGTATCTGCCCCCACCTTTCCATTGGGTGAAATGGGACAGCATATCTGGTGCAGGGCAAGGAGGGATTCAGAGTTCAAATAATCTATTTCCTAATATAGCAGCAACATTTCAAAGGGACCGAATTTGTAACTGAGGTAAGGCTCCACTGATTTCAGGGTTACATCGGAGCCAAGTGCAGCCCTTGATTGTATAGGCAAGACCCAGTTTGTTTAGCAACAGTCTGCTCTGGTGCAACCAAACCTCTATTTGGCATTCAGTTCAGGGGTCCTTTGTACCCAAAATGTAGACAAACTGGAGGAAACACAGGGGCTGAGCAGGGAGGAGAGAACAAGAGCCAAAGGTGTAACAAACTGAAACTAGAAAATAAGGCACGCATTTTTACCAAAGGATGGAACAATTTATCTAGAGAAGTGGTGGATTCCCCATGACCTGAAGTCTTTAACTTACAATTAAACAATATGTGCTAGCTCAGCCATGAGATATGGGTTTGATGCAAGAATCACAGTGGCCTACCTTAATCAGGATGTCAGATGAGATGATAAGAGTGGTCCCTTCTGGACTTAAAATCTATCTATAATGTGGCTAAATGACTGAGGCCCAGGGAGCAGTATGGAAGAGTGCAGAGAGAACTTGATTAGGCTCGTACAAGGGAGTGCTTTGGACAACAGAAAATCAGGACTGCAGCGCAGGGCACATTTCCTGACTGAGGGGTGAATCAGGCTGAGGAGTCACCCCGCAAAGAGGCAAGAGCTCACTTGGCCCAGGCACTGTAGGGGGATGGGTTGGGGGGGTAGGGGGATGGGCTTGTGGAGCTTCCCTCGTGCCCAGGGTGCACAGTGGTGCCCCAGCACCCACAGGGGCTCACCTTGGCATGGCTCACCAGCAGCTCGAGCAGGAGCTGCTCCTGGCCGGTGGAGGCGCTCAGGATGGCCTGCATGTTCAGCTTCTCCAGGGCCTCGTGCTGCCCCAGCCACCTGCAGTGGGGAGCCCGTGTC